TTTAGTTTTTTTTTAATCGTTTCACCAATATGACCTGTGAGGTCCCAATTTAAATTTGAACCACAGCAAACTGTGTGTTCTGTTATCTACCATGCTTTCTCAGTAACTATTTAAAGCAACTGCTTCATACCACAAATTTTCAGTATTTAAGGGAGCTTGAAATACTTGTTCCTGTAACAAAATTCTTACCACAATGGAAGTCTTCTCATCCAGTTGGTACTTAGCAGCAATACCAAAACGTGTGTTGTTACTGCCAGCAGTCCATGCAAGATTGACTGATGTCTCAACCTTGTTATTAACCTTCTGATAAATAGACCCACCAAACTCGGTGCCATCATTCCTGTTTGTAATAGATGCAAGTGTGTCAAGCCTTGCCTTGTTTAGTAATAGTAACTCTTTAGATTAACCCTGCCCCACAATCATTTGATCATTATCTCTTAAAATGAACCAAGAGCTCTAATACTTCTCCAGACCCATGCTCATCTACTTCCTAGCTGGACCTGGCAGACTCCTGCTCACATTTTTTACCCGAAACATAAGTTTTGCTTGCAGAATGGAACAAGACTTTCCACCAGCTGAGACCTATGGTTTGAGGTTCTGACAAAAAAACACCCAGATAACCTGCTTGCTTGTCTTAAGAAAGCAAGCCTCTGATAATGCCTAAAGGGACAAATCCAGAAGGACATTTAAGTCAGTTACGGGAATGTTGAGGCTGAAAACAATGTTATTGCATGGCAGTTGTTTAAATACACCATCTTCAAAGACTCTCAGAGCATCTGAATGCCAAGACTAGAGCTACACTGTGATGACAGCTGGAAACACTCAAGCACAACGCAACACACACCTCTCTCCTCCACCTCAGGCATTTCTGAGCCAGAAGCTCTCTGTCTGGTAATGAGGGGGGGAAGGTACAGTAGCTTAATTGAAGGCTCTTTTATCTAGCACCAAAATAGAAGTTGAAGTTTACAGATTTTAATTCCAAATTAACATTATAAAGTGCCTTTACGCCACTACCTTATATACACAAACCCCAAAATTACCCTGAAACAAGGTCTCAAAAGACAGCCAAGGGTTGGAAAGTTGGCCCTGCTTTAGCTGTACTGAAGATGAAAACACCAAATCTAAATTATTTTGAAACAAATCAGCATCCCCTTCCATCCAGCCACCTTTCACCTAACTCTGTTAGTGCTCACTATTCATCTAGTTTGGCTCCTCTGATAATGTTTTTCTAGGCTCAGATAGTACTTACACATTAGTGTGCAGCTGAAAGTCTCCTGCCTTATATCCCAAGGCAAAGTTATTTTGCGAAAGCTTAGACTTGGCTGTATCAAAAGCCATCTGGTAGCCAGCAAGCCAGCCTTCATAGCCCAACACTGCCCAGCCATAGATGGTTGGTCCAGAGAGATCAATGTCTATGTTGCAGCCTAGATTTACATATTCTCTTTTGTAGGAGGTCTTCAACTTCCCACTCTTCTTCCTGCAGAGAGAAACATGCCATTTTATCCCTGGTAGTATACAAGTATGTATTATATGTAGTTTTATTCATGTATGTATGTCCCTTAAGGCCATACTGTAATGCCTACTCAAAACTTAATGTTAACAGCTGCTGAAGAGGGCATGGGATAAGGGTAATATTGGTATTACGTATATTTACGTGGTGCCGCTTTTTCCTCCACAATCTTAAACTCCTTAACATCCTCAAGAAGCAAAAAAAGACAAAAGCATTTCTGCTTAATGCTCTAAGAATCATCAGGTTTCAAATTTTGTTCTCCACAATTGAGTACAATGCATTATGGCATCATCGGTTTCTTTCAGGAGCATCCATGATATCCCACACTGATAGCTGGCCTTTCTGTCCTTCAGTGACTTTTTGTTTGCTGGGTTCTCCACTGCTCCTTCATGTGCAGTGCTTGGTTTCCTTCCTTCTTCACTGCTGGATACCAGTCTCCTCTATCGAAAAAATGAATTTCCTCATCCTCCAGACATCATCCGCTTAGTCAGCCTTTTTCTGTCCCTGTGGAGAAGCCTCTTCCTCTCTCTCCAGTGCGTCTTTGTGCTCATTTTGCTATCAATTCAAACTTAACATAACCGAGACAAAATTTTATCAGTTCCTTAATCCTCTCCCCAACCTCCTTTCTCTCCCACTGAAGACAGAGCAGAACACCATGCTGCCTGTAACTCATCCCAGGCCTGGGGTCTCATTTTTGACTTAGCTTCCAATTTCTTACATCCAAGCAATATTTCAAACTCTGATTTTTCTGATAGGCTTTCCCCAACAGTAAAGAAATAGCAGTAATTTTTTACAAAGCAGTCTCAAGCTTTGTGCGTTATCCAGACATAAAACACCTCTCCTTTGCTCTATAACCTACCAAAAATAATTCTATGATAAATGAAAAAGACAAAAGAGTACTACTCCACTGCCTATCATAATAGCTATGCAATTCTACATCATTCAGTTGTGCATAGACATCTGCCCAAAAGCATCAGGAAAAAAATAAATTTTTCTTTGTGTTCTTAAGGCACTGTGCTGACAGCAGCAGGACTGTCAACACCATGACAAAGATGGTACAAGTTAAATGGTCCATGTAAGACCTAGCTGTTTAAGGGGAGAGTTACAAAAATATAATACCTACTGCAAAACGACAAATTTGCCAATGGCCAAAAAGCTGAAGAATCATTTTTAGCAGACCTTGTCCTTCTCAGCCCGGTATTATCCATTGCCTTCAAATTCTACAGCGCCTGCAGAATATTCTGCAGTAAATTTTGAGCATTTACACAATGACCAGAATAAGCATTTCTAATTCAAAGTTACAGGGAAATTCTAGCACTCCTTAGATAAAGTTAACAGAAAATATTTACCCTGTGTTTGGTACAAATGTAGTGTCAAGAGCCACCTTCAATCCTTCAGCCAACTGCAAAGAAAAACAGAGACATCTGCTCAGAACTCTGCTGAAACGTTATATTCCACTACTGTAGCTTTACTTCCTGTCTAAAGAGAAGACAAAACACAACCATAATGTCTCCCACATATTTTACAACAAAATCTGAAGATGCTGTATGATGAGGGATTAAAATTTGGACTTTTTCTCCCCACAATGAGGCCCTGTAACAGCACACACTTTGTAGATACATTACTACAGGAAGATTTCAAATCTAGTGTTGACAAGAAAATTGAGAAACTATGCTAAAGAAAGAAAACTGTTCGGTTCATGTTTGGTTATTCCCTATAGTTCCGACAATCCACGCAGTAGCTCAAGAATCTCTCTCAGAATCTACAGGTATTCTTTTAAGACACAGTACTACTTCACAGGCCAAACCATCTACCTGCCTCAGCTTTCCCACCCTTTTTTGAGCTGGACAGCATTTTCTGTTTTAAAGCACAGGTAAAAATGCAAAACTGTAACTACAAAAATTGATGGCCTTACACGGTGGAGGGCATCATAGAACTTTTACCAACTTTGGCACCATTACCTTACGCTTCAGGCACTAAGTGAAAGGCATAAAGCTACTACTCTGAAAAAGAATTGCGTGTTTTGAGAGTGCTGTATGCTAGCAATCCTTTGTGTAAGCAATGCCAAGCTGCCAACACTAACCTTTCTCTTCAACCTTCTAAAATATATCCAATCTCAAGGCAGCCAAACTTAAGTCCTTATGTATTAGAGCATTTAAAACTAGGAGACCCCTCTTTTGCTTCCCCTGCATGACTGCAGCCGTGACAGTTCTACATAGCTAGCGTGCGTCTTTAAACAAAAACTCCTATTTGGAGTGGATAATAGTGATGTTCATTCAACCAGCTAGCTAATTTTGCATTCCCATAACTGCAGTAACTCGTCATTACGTAGCAGCAAGTGCTGTGGGAATGCTTGCACCCCCCACCCCCAAAATTCATGACGCGCTCTCTCAGTTTGTGCATTCTGCAAATATACATAACTTCTTTCTTTTTAGTACTCCAGATAGTTTTGTGCAACTTTCACTCTTCAGTGTTTTCTGCTCCGCTCAAGACTTTCTCATACCAGTTGCAGAAACATTTTCAGGGTATCTACTTCCTCTTACCTGATCCTCCATGGAAACTTCTGTTCCCAATGTGTTGTCTGTGTTCCACTTCTGGGTGAATGTAAGTCCATATTCTTTGATCTTATATTTGGTCTCTAGACTGCCTGAAGCCTTGCCTGTGTCTGTGTTGGAAGAACCAGCTGCAGCGAATTCCTGCCAAGAGCATAATACAAGTTTCAGCATTCTGGTATTTAATTACATTCAGTTTTTCCACTTGTTGAGTGCCAGCACTCACACTTGCTACCCTTAGACCTTTTGACAGAATCCTCAAAATCATCCTCCTCTTCCCTATCCCCACCAAAAATAATTATTTCTGCATCACAAAATGCTACTCCTTTTGGCATCTCTGTTCTGGGTATTTCCTTTATTGAGGTGTGCTGATAGAGCCCTGGAACTTGCTTAGGTTGGAAAAAGCACTATTACACAAAGACCTGACATCTTCACTTACTTTTCATCTGCATCGTGATTTGATTACCTGCTTCCCCCTTCTAATTTTTACAGGACTTTTTTCCTAACTTATCCACCAACCTCCCCCACACCAAAAAACCCTTTTTCTGCCATCTTTTTTCTGCTTCAAAGCGGCAATTGTTATTTCAACATTCCACAACTTGCTCTGCACCTTCACATGGATCCATACCCAAATACAAAAAGATACTCGCTTGGGATACAAAGCTGCTTGTATCCTTGGATTTTTCTTCACAATCTCCTCTAATTCCCTTGATCACCTTACCAGCAGTGTCCCAGTTGTACAAGAAATAGCAACCACTGTAGTCCTTCTGGAAATCCACTCTCCCTTAAGAAATGCAATCCTACATCCAACTTACTCTGCTAGATGAATAGCAACAAAAAAACCCCACTGATTTTTCTCTCGTTTCTCCAAACATCTCGTGTGTTTCTTCCTCTTCATTCTTTTTTCTTTTTCCACCTTTCAGCAGTGAAAATGTCTGCTGGAGAATGGTCATTGATGCTTTTCACACTGACTACTGCACCCTAACATTGTTGTTCATGCTACCCTTTATACTGTTGTCACTTAAGACTCTTCATATACCATGCTGATGACCTTAGCACCTCCTCCCTCAACCTAAGTTCTCTGTCATTACCTCAGCCAGCTACTACACTTTAGAAGGTCACCCCTTTGTAAGGCATCTTAAAATTGTAGAGCTTTTTTCCTTCACAACATCAGAAAATAACCTGACCCCAGTGGCACCTTGACATCAGGCTGGTCCTTCACTGACTAGTGTAACTGAACCAACAACTTTGAATTTTGTATAATATGTATTTTGTAACATGCTGTCCTATGCTGTTTGGGTAGTCCCCCACACATCAGAGGTTCCTGTTATTCAGGGGACTTGAAGTCTCAATAAATATCTCTCCTCCTGGAACAACTCAGAGGTAGCCTACTCAGTGTTTCATGCAGAACAGAGTATAAAGGAATGAGTAGGCATATTTTCACAGTAGTAAGCTCAAGGTGTACAAGCTAGGTTTTAAGAAGCATCTGAGAACTGATCTCATTTGTTGTCTTCATCTCTCAAACATTTTCCTTGAAGAAGGATAATTAATCTGCCATTACATTTCCAAGTTACACCTCTTTTGAAGTTTAAATATTGAAAGATCCAGTGCTTAAGAGATGGCAGTATCCATGTATCCATTGCCAACACATCCAAGCTTTGACTTTCCAGATCTGTTTCATTCTAGGACAGTATTCCTGGATGCTGTGTACATTACTTTCACAATTCTGGACTTTGCAGAGTGTACAAAAACCGTCTTTAAATGGTTTTGAAGTGCCAGGGAAGTACACCCAGGTAACATTCCTTACACACCAGCGGGGGAAGACACTCAAGCTAATACACTACTACAACAGCACAGCAGTTTTATAACACAAAAATACGTGATGCAAATCAGGATGTATTAGGCTATCCTTTAAGACATAACTGCTACACACTGCTCTGATGTCACTTCCACAAATTCAGTGTAAAGACATCTCAAACCTGCACCAGAATTCTGAAGTAACTTTCTTCTGATCTTAGGGCAGGTAACCGATTAAAAAGGCTTGATTTGATTCTCAGACCAAGCAGAAGAAAGATTGTAAAATGCTTTTCTCACAGCCAAAGGAAAAAAAAAACCAACCCTGTGCTGTCATATGATCAAAAGCCAAAGGATTTTGCCAGGTGTCAGAACTCGATCTGCTTCTGGAAGTAGAAGGCACACAGTCAGCATCTGCTACTGTCAGTCTTCAACTGTCTAAACTAGAGACGTCTCATCAAACCATCTAGTGTAGAAGCAATTCTTCAATTTTTTGTAGCTGAAAATCAAACTCATTCTGGCTCCATGTCACACTCCAGTCTGAATCAGCAGTCACGCTCAGCTTCTCACTGACCTTCTAGTTTATGGTGGCTGGCGTCTTCAGAAACACCATGCACTTACTAGGCCAAACCACTTGCAATCTATGAAACAATTATAACCAATAGACACTACCACTGTTGTTTTCTAAGCCCACAGAAAAAACACCCAAAACATTTCTGTATCATAACAATTAGAGGTACTATTACTACCCAAGTACGAATTAGATCTCACACGTTGTTCCTGACATCGTCTCCATCCCCAAAATCTCATTTTGTTGCAGCAGAATGCTCATTAGAAACACTAACAAGCACAAAACCTGAAGTAACAGACAACTCTATCAATCTTGTTGTCCCTCCTGTGGTTTTTACAGTGTTCTTATTGTGTATTATTGGACAAAGATTGCAAATGGCTTTATATACATTGATCATACAGCAGATTAAGGGCTATGGACACAGTCAAACTTCATGATGGGGATGATAACATGACTAAAAACAATGGAACAGTTTATAAATGACAGTAGGCACCACAGAAAACCTCACTAGACAAAGCAATAAAGAACCAACATGCCAAAACAGTCACTATTCTTACCAGCTGGATAAACATCCAACACGAAAGTTGCATGGAAAAGGAAAAGCCCATTTTAAAACTTAATACAGTTGCTCATGTACCGTCACATTCAGAAGACAGCATAATTAATCATTAGCGTATTATTTGAGAATCAAAACTTCCAGACGGGAAAACTATGCATATCGTGAGGTGTCAGTAACTGGTAGCAGTCATAGTATAGAGACCACATAGTTCCTCGTGCCTACATGTTCCTGGTGCACAATGCAAGTAATCCATCAAAAGCTCAATTGAGACAGAATACAGTAATACAGAAGAAATTACTTACACCATTTGAATGATAAGAATGCAAGAGGAGGAAGGAGCTAAGGCAAATATGGTTATGAAGTAGGCTGAAAAGCAGCACGGCTTGTCAACCACAACAGCATCAAGTGGTAGCACACACAGAACTGAGACTCAGTGTAGGAGTAAGCTTATCTAGTAAACAATATATGCCTGTAGTTAAAGACCAAAATTATGAAACCCATTCCTGGTTTTGCCAGCCCTCCTGAAAATCATGAGGAAGCTCCGCTTCTCCATCATTAAAGTGGGGATCATGGTATTTTCTAGTTACCTGAAGTGCTAAAGCTTAATTAACATCTGTAAAACGTTCTCAAATTCTACATAAAGGGTACTGCAGGAGGACTATTTAAATCTTGCATTGTAAGCACAGTGGAGATGAGTGAAAATGAAGTTAAGTTAAACTGTGGCTCTTATTTGCCCCTTGGCCTTTTGGGTAAAAAGCCAGTCTGGACTCAAAATCCTATAAAAAACAACAACAGCAGAGAAACTCAATTGCATTCATAAGCAGAAATGAGAGCTATTTAGGGTGAAGAAACTCTTATGTTTGGGATGTGGGAATGGGAACGGGGAGGAAAGCCCCATGTCCACAACAAAATGTGTGAAAATTCTTGCACGCTGCAGGAAAAGAAGTACCACTACGTCAGTTCCACACCATTATAGAAATACCTCAGGCCGCTACAGGTTTTAAAATGAGAACTGAAAGAGAGAAGCAATACCTGCTAGCAAGTTATTACCACCAACCAGTTCAGGAATTTGTCCTTCCATTGCAATGCTGGTGATGTTGAAAGCCCTCAACACTTACCACACCACTGGAAGACTTAGTCTTCAACTCTAACTTGACCATTCCAAATCCTGAAAATAGAAGAGCATACAGCATCTGCTTCACCGCAATATACAAGCAAGGCTTATTTCCAACACACCCAAAGTACAGCAGGTAGGGTACACTGACCTGAAACAACCTACTTGCATGTTTCAACAGCTGTCGATCTTATTGAGGAATGATTGAAGGAATTTTGACAATTCAAAGTGGGTGGCCTCATAACTTATCATCATAATTGTCACCCATCATCAAGTACCTCCACCTTCTGTAGCTACCTGCAGTCTGGGACCAATCAGTACGGTCACCATTTCTTCTGATTTACTCAATTTCCTTTTATATTTCTGATTGCAGGGCAGGAATTTTTCTTTTCCCCTTCTCCAAGAAAAATATGTTTCAACTTACTTCAAGCAATGCCATATACAGAGATACTATTCCTTTCTTCCTTTTCTCTCTAATCTGCTATGAATCTAGGGAAATACCTGGCCCTTGCACAGAGTAGAAAAGCCTGAAACAACTGACACTAAAGCAGGGAACTTGAGTTAATTTTAGCAAAGCCTGAACTCTAGGGTGGCAGAGACCAGACCAGAATGGTTTTTAATTTTAGCATATGGATTTGGGATACAAATGCAATTTTTATCACACTCACAAAACTAGATAAAAAATGTCAACACTTTTAGTACTGCTCCCAGAAAAGGGTCTAATATCAGTATTTATCCACTTAAATTCTTTGAAGAGGAATGCAAACATTGTGAAATTATTTCCACTATGGCTATGACAATAGGCTATTCTGATTAACATGAAGATCATTCTACCTCAGGAACCTGTTTGTTGCCATATATGGTCTCCTATGGGAATCTATGTGAATCTGACTGATTTAATGCCTCTAAATACAAAAACTAGAAGGTAAAAAATGCAGCATTCTTCAGAGACTTCCCTGGAGTGCATCTTAAGGTCGAACTCATAACTTTCCCCTCTAACTCTTTGCCTACTGCAGCATTTTCATTGATACATGTCTAAAGTTCAAATTCAGAAGGGGCTAGATGCTCCAGGCCTCTGCTGAATTCCTACCCAAAGGTATTTAGGGGATCTCTGGGGTACTAATGTTTTTATTGTCATTTTCAAGATGCCTAAGAAAAAAAAAAAAGAAAGGTTATTAAACCACAGTCATGTTACTTACCATATCCCTTGTTGAAGACATCCCTGGCAGACTTTCCCAAGTCACTGTATGATGGTGGGACAGCCATGGATCTGAAACGTAGTGGAAGCTGTAAGAATCTTAGGTTTAACAGCATAAAAGCTAAATTATATCCAAAGCATTTATAAACGTCTATGACTAGTACCCTCTGTGTACTTCACTGATACTGAAGTGCAAGACCTTTGAAGAACGTTCACAAAAGCCATCCTCACATCAGCGTTGCTTCATCAGAAACAAACTTCAATTCAAAGAAGTTATGGAAGCCAATCCATTATTTGAAATCACTAAACCCCAGGAACAGTATTACGTTCAACTACATATGTAGGCCTCACATTCTTACATTGCAAAAAGAGCTCACGGGAGCCTTAATCCCTGTTCTGATAATGGACAGGACCCTTCCTGAAAGGGACCCCAAGTGGCAAAGCCACGTCAGCACTGAACAATCCCAAAGGAAAAGATATCCGACTTCCCTGTGCACTTGTGACTCCTTAGAAAGTTTTTTCAGAGATTTGTAAAATATAAAAAGATATCTCTGTACCCTGTCCAGTAGCCACCAGTGAGTATTTCTGTACTGTGTATACACAGCAGTAAAAACTACATTTTCTAATACAGGTAACTGTTACAACTACTTTGGAGGGCAAAACTCTGAAGGACAGGCTTGTGATATTACAGCTTACATGACATATTTAATGTTAGTTACCACAATTTAGGGATTTTGCATCCAAAAATCCACATTAAAAGAAGTAGGAAAACTCTTCCCAGTGGAAAATTAGTCTTCCCCTTCTAGAATAAGTTTGCATAAACATAAAGGCACACCTGCTCCAACAAGAAAAGCTATCAAAGATGATGCTTTTGTTTGATTTTAAGCATAACTCTTTGCCACTTAATCCTTCCTACAGCTGACGTGTTTGTTGATAGTCTCTGCAACACCTGACGCCTGAAATCCCTGATCCCCCATTTGTTACTTATACTGTACTGAAAGACTAATCTAAAAAGTAATAACGCAAGCAAAACACGTAAAAATCCCTAAAGTCATCACTTCTCTTCCACTATTTTAATTGCTTATCGGTGTACTCGGTCCCTCTGTCACAAATGCAACAGTATCTGCACTAAGCAGTTAAGTCCTGTTTTCAGATAGCTAGCCCTTTCCTAAAACGAAACACTTGGGCAATTTACATCCCACAGTAGACAAAACGCTCTGTGTTCAGTGACTTAATAACTAACCTGCACTATGTGTCTATCAATACACGGACTGGATGATCCTTATGGGCTCCTTCCAACTTGACATATTCTATGATTCTATGAATATATATCTGTGGGTTTACAGGATCTAAAATAGCTGGACGTGACTGCAGATTCCCTATCTGAAGATTAGTACGTAAAACAGGTACTTCTCAAAATTACTATGCAAAAAGGCCTTTTTACCTGTCAAACATGAAGGGGAAAATTACAATTATTGAATCTTTAAACTGATGAAAGAGCAACAGAATGTGCACTTTTGTGACAGCATAGTTTAAATTACTACAACAGTTTTAGCAACACAGCTATGGAGCAGAGCATATCCTTCTTTTAAAATGTTGGTTTTTGACACAAATCTCTCAATTCAGAAGTTTCAGCTCACACTTTAAAATTGGGGTTTGGGGTTTTTTTTGTTGGTTTGGGTTTTTTTGAGGGGAGGGGAGGTGTTTGTTTGGTTTGGTTTTTTTTAATAGGTTTATAAGATTAGTTCAGCCCGCTGATTTCAAAAGCTTAGTAACTCCAGTTTTTGGAGCAAGGCTGATACTTTGACATTTTGATATGGTGATACTCTACATATGCAGTAACTGCCTAACATACTCTTGAACCTCAAACACTTTTTTCCAGCAAAAACCAATACGAAAGATAACTCCCTGCATAAGAATTCATGCAAAACACAAGCAGATTTTTTGCAAAAATGCTCCCTGGTCACAGCTGGCTTTCAGGTAACTGTCCAGCTGTTGAAAACATGACAGGAATACTCCATAATCATATGGATTTGTAGCTGGCCTCCAAACCACATAATCTGTTTTCAGTCAGAAGTTTGACAATGATCAGCAGTAAGCCACAACACATTTTCCAGAGTTGGGACTGACCTATTCAGAGTTTAGAAGACATGAGTCTACTCTACCTTTCAAATTACAGAGAGATGTTATATCAAACAAAAGCAAGATCTTAGATAGCACTCCCCCTCCAGTTTTGGAAAACATGCCACACCCTGACCTCTTCCATGCTTTGCCAGCTATCTCTCAAATCTTTCTACCTCCCTGCACAGAAGGGCATGTGCTTTAGACAGACAAATGACAACAGAGTTGACCACCAAGTAGTCTCGAGGCTCACCTCGCCAGCTTCACGGAAAATGCTTCAAGTAGAGGAGGACTTTACCATCCCGTTCAGCACCTTCCCAATCTAAACCTTACCCTTTTGGCTGGTACCCTGTTCTGTTTACACCTCATTTTCATAAGGCTATTGAGACATCTTGAATCTTGTGAGCCCGTTCGCTTGCCTAACATATCTCCCCCCTTTACACTATATGGCTGTATTTTCTGTATTCTATGTGTTTTAATGTATTCGTTAAATACTATGCGAGTATTTAAAAGGTATTCTAAGAAAAAGAAAAAGAAAAAAGATTCTTCAGGCTAGCTCATGCTGAGATACATAAATTCTTTGCTAATAACAAGCAGCTCTACTTCATCATACAATCATAGATCGGTTTGGGTGGGAAGGGACCTTAAAGACCATCTAGTTCCAACTGCCCCGCCTTCTTGCCTGCTTGCAAGCCAGAATTGTTCCACAGTTCCACAACTATTAATACTAAATTTGAATTGGTCTCCAAATGCGACGACAACAGCTGACAAAACACAACGTAAAGTGGAAAAGAAACATTAAGCCGGAGATCTAAAACTAAGCCACAGTACTTGTTTTAAGCACCTTGTTTTCAAACAAAGCCTCCTTAATCTCGTGCTTTGATTTTTTTTCTCCCGCAACAATGAAATTAGCACAAGAACCACAGGAGAAAAATCTATCAAGGAATAAAAGGCTGGGGGCAACCGATGCTTGAGATACAGCGCGTGGTACGCCAGCGTCCGTATATAAACTGCAAAAAAACACCACCGAAGTAGAAATTTCAGTGAAGAAATACAGATGAGCACACCCACTCCGGTGTATGGAACAACTGCGCTTCGAGACACCGGCTCCGTTTTCACCGACCGGTTCCGCGGTGGCGCCGCCCGTGACGGCCGTCACGCACCCTTCGGCGGCGGCGGCGCCGCCGGGGAGCGGCGGTACCGGCTGCACGGCCACGGCCACGGCACGAGAGCGCGGGCACACGAGAGCGCGGGCGCGGCCTCCTCCCCGTCCGTTACTGACGCGCGTTACGCAACGGATAACGGACGGCGGGGCCCGGCCGGGCGCCCTCCTCCTCTCCTCAGCGAAACGGCGGCGCCGTGGGGGAGGCTCGGTCGCTGCCGACCCCAGCTGTTCGCGCTTCCCAACCGAGAAACCGGAGCGCTGCCACAGACCCACCCACCGCCGCGGCCCGCGCCTCGGGGTCATCGCCTCAGCAGAAGACGAACGCCCGGCGCCCCCTCGGGGCTCCGGCCCACCGCAAGGTGACTCGAGGGACGCCCGCCTCGGCCCC